AGAGGCGTTGGTCGACAACACGAATACAATGCTCGACATGTCCACATGGCAGGATGCGAGCCTACCACCGTCTCCTGAATTAATATTATTTATTTTCCTTTACTAGAGAGTTGGAATAATCTAAGTTATACCTATTAAAGCAATAAAGGCTGTTTAAGTTAATTAGAAGTTTAGGTACTACCCTAAGGTTACCTTATGATAAGATGGAAACAGTTGCGAAACAGAAATAAGTACGTACGTACAGTACTTTAGAGCACTTAAATAAAATTTGATTACTCAGGCGTAACGTTGGATTTTAATGGATTAAAATCCGTTTAGAAATAACATAGCCGGGCGAGCTTGGCTTGATCATTTTTTATTACGCCACAAAGATAAACTTGCCATCCGATCACCAACAGGAACTTCCAATGCTCGGGCTCAAGGTTTCAATAAAGAAGCAGTGGATAAGTTTTTTAACATTATTGAAGAAGAATTCCAAAAACATAATTATCCTCCAGAGAGAATTTTTAATGTCGACGAAACCGGGCTATCTATTGTACAGAGTAAAATAGTTAAAGTAATTGGTATGAGGTAAAAGACAAGTAGGTAGCTTGACTGCGGCTGAACGTGGCTCGTTAGTGACTGTGGTATCAGCGATGAGCGCAAGTGGCATATTTATTCCACCACTGCTGATATTTCCCCGCAAAAATATGACGCAAACGTTGATGAAGGGAGCTCCACCAGGCTCAATAGGAAGATGCCACCCATCAGGATGGATTCAAGCAAATCTGTTCACAGACTGGTTCAATCATTTCGTTGACAAGACCCACCCAACTGAAGCCTCACCTGTTCTTCTAATTCTGGATGGCCACTATTCACACACGCGCAATTTGGATGTTTTGATTGCAGCTAGAGCTAACCATGTCACAATTATTAGTTTACCACCACATGCTCACAAGAACCTCTCGATGTCTTTTATGACTTTGCAAAAATTGAGGAAATTACTTGTAAAGTAACATGTCCTACTCTATCAATATACGCTGGAGGTAAATTAGTGAGAGATAATAGGTGAATAAGAAATCAGAGTAGTTGGCCAATCATCACGTACTCATGAGGAATTAATCAAAATGGTTCAAGAGAACTGACTAAGGCAATTAAGGGAACTTAATGGTAGAGAGATGGATAGCAGTGCCCCTCTTAAAACATCTCTAAAAGCCTAATTGCGGTTGTCAACCCATCTTCCAAGCGCATTCCATTACTAACTACTGGTAAAACTTAAAAGGTAAAAAATAAGTCTGTGAGAGATTTTAGTTTTCATTAAGAAGAGGGTCATTATTAAAGGGTAATAATCTATAAAATAACCTGCTAAACTATTTACTTATAAGTGTTTTTGTTTAAAAAAGAAAGAGAGAGAAGTCAAATGGATAGGTTATATTATATTTCTAACAAAGGTAGTTCCGTTAAAAGTATTCAACCTTCCTCTACGTACGTACAGTACTTTAGGCACTTAAATAAAATTTGATTTCGTAACGTTGGATTTTAATGGATTAATCGCCTCCATTACACATTGAATATGTATGGTCTAATGTAAAAATAAAACTTACCAATGCACCTCAATAATCAGATTAACTTTATTGTTCTTCATGGATCTGTTATATATTATGTATATAATTAGCCAAAAATAGGTAAAATAAGTACATAATCAGCTTCAAAGTCTACCTTTGAAGTTCAGTTTACCAGCCACAAATAGCAGCAAGCCTGCAAATCTAACAATACAGCTTGACCACAGATACAAAATGGTGATTTCGCGCCCACTGCTCATTTGTACTCTTCGAATGATCTCGATAAACAAGATTGCATTTACAATTTATTTATTCGTAACAATTCGAGATGCAAATTGATGCGCTTGTGATTCTGCATATTTATGTCCAGATTGTGAAAAAAGCACATCGCGGCATTAGAAAAATTGTAGAAATTAAAAGAGACTACTCACCTGTGAAACTTTGTGTTAGAATCATGTAGGTCAGGTGTGCGTACCATTATTTATTACTAGCAATCGGGCCCGGCTTCACACGGGTAGATAGAACTTTCTAAAATAATATATAACCTATGTTACTCACTGATAACGAAGCTTTCTGTGGATGATAGAAATTTTAAAACAAACAAACGAATCTTTCCTTTTATATTACTATACATAGAATAGATACATACAATAAAATTGTAACTAGATGAATTTGGTTAGGAGTTATCTGGGAAAAATTTATATGAGAGGTCTAAACAAGAATAATAACAAGACAAAAAGATTTTTATTTGTTATCTTTTGTACATTTGTCTTTTTGTATGTTTATTCCGGCATCACGCAACCTGCATCGAATTGAAAGCGGTTTCTATAGATCTATCCTGATTTATTCTATTGATATCCTATCTATCCTGAAGTTCGAACTTAAAGTTTAATGCATATTTATTTTCGAAAGGACATCTAGATGTGACTATTTAATTGGTTTTCCTACTTCCAAAATCTACGCGTAAGAAGGCGTGGGCAAAAGCTAAGTTTTTTAAAAAAAAAGGCGCCTTTGGAATGCTATCAAAGAATCTTGACTTAGTAATAGACTAAAAATAAAACAGGATATTGTTAACCTAAAATTCTTTGTTTTGTAGATTGATATTTGTTAAATCTTCTATATAAATAAAAATAAACTGCTAAATGTAAGCGCATCACTTCAGAATGAAGTTGCGAATTTAATTTGCGAATTCTTTTTTTGTTGTGTTTGTAATTGTTAACACAAGGTTTTCCGAACAAAAAATCACACAGAAAAGTGAAAAATTTGAGTTAATAAAAGTCAAAATTGTGTTCCACAAAAAAACTGATATCAGTCGTGGCAAAATCAATTATTTTGATTTACAAAATCCAGCAATTTTAATTAAAAATATAAACTACTACTATTTTAATAAGATTTCTATAGGACAAATCTGGAAATATATCATTTCAAATAAAAAAAGAATTTTCCAAAGCGGTTTATAACTGACGGAGTTGTAAGGTAACAAACATACTACTATGTTTTTTTTTTTTTTGAGAATAACGAACCTCCTTTTTTTGAAGTCATTTGAAAAATATCACACCCGTGCGAATACGAAGCGGGTTCATTATTTGCGTGGTAAAATTATTTCATCGCGTGCTACCACTGGCATTCCATGGGTTCCATGCCCCGAATGAAGCTTCGCAAAAACATGTCTGAGAATATAAGAGGCCAAAGATACAACGGCCCAAATGAGAGGCTTAGTACGGAAATGGGATCTCAATTTAGATTTCATTACAAAGGACCAATATATAATCTTAAATACACTAGAATGCATATTGCCATAGGTTCCCTGATATATTTTAACAAGTTTTCTTCTTGATATATTAGGTTCGTTGTTATACAAGCTCGGGAACAAATTGAATCAGAGGGAGCCTGTTTTATCAAGTACAATTTGCCTGTACCTAGTCTAGTCTAATAGGTTTAACGACCTAACAAGAAAAGCGGTGCACTGCGGACCTAACCATTATATTCGTATTAGCGAATTTACGATGTACATACATACGTATATAAGAGTATGTAACCATGCACGATGCATGCGCTAGTAGTTTGCATCCTGCAGTAACAAACCTATGCACTTATCTGCCTAGTTAAATGGAACATATTAATTGCGATTGTTATTTAGTGATAATAGTCTATTTTACATAATACCCACGTATATTTAAATATAGATTTAACTACCTACAATCAATTTCTATGTAAGTAAGGTAAAAGCACGTTTCTTTTTAATATATGGTACTAACCTAAACCACAAATAATATAATACTATACTAGTACCTAAACTAACCGGGGGGAAAGGGATTGTTAGTAATGAGATTTAATAGCCCCATTGCTAGCAATATACTCTCTCAAGTCGACCTCCACGCGGTTCCCCCTGGAAATCATCATGGTTTTTTTTATGGGTGAAAATGGTATGGTTACCCCGCCTGCGCTAACGGGATACGCTGGCGGAGCACCAGTGAAGGGTGATAGAAAATGATAGAAAAAAAAAACCTAACCAAACCGGAGGAGAAATTGTCAGTAATACGGACTACCAGTATCATTGTTAGCAATATATCCTATCAGGTCGACCTCCACGTGGTCTTCCCTGGAAATCATCGGGCTGAATTCCAGATCTATTTATCACGATGGGCTAACTGACCAGCCTTTTCATTGTTCACATTGGTGCCCCGCCATTGGTGCCATTCCATTATCATCCATTAAAAACCCCTACCATGCCAAAATTTAATGAAATTATCTAGGACTCTTAGTCAAATGATAATAAATATTTGCATTTTCACTATGATATGTGAGAGACTAAGACAGTACGTCTAGCTTCTTGTTCTTGTCATGGATGCAGTAACGAAAACATATGTAACAATAGATTAACGCATATTCAGAATTGCTGGGTTTAGAAATAAGTTCATATTATATATGTTATTTAAAACAGAACGAATATTTTGTTTTTTTTTTTTAATTGCTACCATAACGAAATAACGAGATAAAAAAGTACTAATATTTAGTTTTGTATTAAGAATAAATTGTATTTTTATGTATTTTATAGAAAAATATAATAAATAATTTTAACTTAAACGAACATATAAGAAGTGAATCAGAAGTGATATCATACCTAAGTATATAGGTACAATAATGTTTTTGTTCATCGGCATTTGTAAAGATTTTAATGAAATCCTAGATGCTGTAAGAATTGATTAGTCAACCACGCCTACAATGTACAATATACCAGACACGAAATTCATATTTAGTTGAATAATATTTCCATATAAATAATCTTACTAAGAATTATTATTTTTAAGTCTTTAGATACTCCTTTTTTTTAATTCTCTAAACATTAATTAATGTAAGAGAAAGCTATAAAATCTAGATAAAGTCTCAGTGGAATCAAGTAGGTATAGATAACGGTTTTAGGATGTTAAATTAATTCAACATCCAATCTTGTTTCAGAGGCACGTCCAAAATGGCAGATCCTACCACCAATGCCAGGCTACGTCCCAGTCTATATCAGAACAGGCGACACGCCACTCGAGGAAATCAACCCTGACTTAGCCGAGGCTTTCCACGCGCTTCCAGCCGGCCGAAGTGCAGGGAAGGATCTAGAAGCTTCGCCAGAAATACCAGAACAAGCAGATCAGCCCCAACCAGATGTGCCAGAGATTCCACAGCAATCAGAGATCAAGAAGATTCCAGAACCCGTTGACATAATCGACAAACGCCCATACGAGAAAAAAATCTTGGAAAAAAAGAAAAAAGCCAGTTTCGAAATTGCAAAACCCATCGAACGTAGATAAAGGACGCGTTAGTTTATAATCCCCGTAGGTACTTACGTTAAGATGCTAGTTACTGAATACTCAGAGAGCCCTAACTACGCTTGCCATTCGCTTCAATTATTTATTTTATAATGTAAACTACTTTTGTAGCATTAAATTATTATTATTTTTAGTTTTATTGTATTTCTCTAAACCATATAACCTAATATTTTTACCGAACAATCGGAGTGGGATACAGCAATAAAATTAGAAATTACAGGGCTATAACACCTTAGTCTTTAGGAATGGCAACGCATGAAGCGTAACATGTTTTTTTTTTTTATACAACTTAGAATGGCAAACAAGCTGACGGCCCACCTGATGGTAAGCGGTAACCGTCGCTTATAGACATGAGCAGTACCATGGATATAACAGAGTATACCGTTTCGCTCATGATACTCCCCATGCGTTGCCATTCCTGAGGACTCAGGTGTTATTCCTCTGTACCCAGTAAATTCATGCCATATCCCACCCTTCAAACCGAAACAGCCATACAAACACAACTGCTTCACGGTTGAAACACGAATGGGACAGAGGTACCCAAGCAATCGACTTTTGTACAGTCTCCCTCCGGTATAGGTCATGATAGGTTTACGAATCACCCATATAAAATTTATACACAATAGGAACATAAGGAACATTTATTATATTCAATCGTATTTAGATTAAAAAAAACGAGTATAAATAATTAAAACCATTATATTAGCCGTTAACAGTCCACTACTGAACATAAATCTTTTCCATAAAGAGAGTTTTGACTATAGTTGCCACGTTTGGCAGGCAAGTTGGCAACCGCTGTTGAACTTTTGGAGATGTTTAAAAAGGGACGCTGCTGCCCATCCCTCGACCATTAAGTTTCATTAAGTTTTTACGACACTCAAGGGAAAGAAAGGAGTGGCCCGTTCTATGCTAGAACCATACGACGTAATAATTTAATTAATAAATAATAGATAAATAATTCTTGACATTGATATATATCGGAAACAGACAAAGTTTATGTCAAGAACGTTATCAATGTCAATTTCAGATAAATATCTATTTAAAATTGCAAATTATTTAATCTATGTAAAATAACTACAAAATATAAAACACGACAAAAATATGAAGTAAAAAAAATCAACTATATACAAATAATAAATTTTTTAATACAAAAAAATTTGCTTTCATCCCATTATTTTCAATTGAATACATTTACAATTATACAACATAACACGGTTTTTCAATTCTCAAAATGTATTCAATTATTCTAAATGATTTGTATTTACTAAAAGATCTTTCTCGATTAAGAATTGTTATTGGCAATTTTAAATTTACATAACTTCCTCAAATCGAGTATAGATTTTTTTTATTACTACAAAAGACATAAAATTCTATTTTAATAAATATGAGTTCTTTAGTTTGCCATATGACATTTCATAATGCCGTAAAAACGGAATGGTGCCCCGCCAGCGTAAACCAATAACACAAGCCGGGCTATTCCATTTTCAACCCTAATGGGTAAAAAAGAAATAAGAACTGACCTCTCCATTTCTAAAGATTCCACTGCTCTCCCTCGCCAATTGATATTAGATATGATAATAGACTCCACAGAATTTATAAGCAATATTGCTGCAATAGTATAGGCCATGTACCGTATAAAATAATCATACAAAAAACTAATACCATATCCACACGGCACTGATTTTAATCGCTTGCAATTTTAAAGTCACTGCTAATGTTCGCAACACATTAATTTTAAAATCGCCAGCATGTCGCTAAAATCACCACCGTGTGAATAAGACTTAATAATACAAGACATTTAAATTATATTAAAGTCTCGAAACAGTCTCGAGTACATTTTGCTATTTTTTATATTCATTCAAATTTTTCAGTATGACAATATCGTCAAAGTATCTTAATTTACATTTGTACAACATATTAAAAAACCTAATACTACATTACAATCAAAATATTTACAGAAATAAACATACAACTTGGTGGAAAATATTTAATTGAACTTACCAACATTATATATCCATGGATTATAGTCATGGATATGTTGTCATTAATGTCCTTTACTGGACAATAATCTCTCCCCATAACAAGATTCTAGCCTAATATCACGCTAGTACGTTTATTCTCTTAGTTGTGTCTTACGATATCCTGAAAATAATAACGATACACTGTCCTAATCTGAGGGCCTACCATGAAGTATTTTCCGAAGTTTCGGGGACGAACGAAACAGAAATTTGATGTTAAAATTGCATAATACATGCTGTTTAAAATTATTAAAAAGGTTAAAATATCGTTCCTTTGGACTATTAGAATAGAATTTGTGATGAACGAAATGTTAAGCTCCATTTACTGGGTCGATTTTGATACGAACAAAAACACGAAATTGAGCCCGAAATTTCGGAATTTCATTTCATGGTAGACCATCTGTAATTGTACGAAGAATATATTTCATTATCATAAATAAAATTTATGTTATCTGGACAAAAAAAAAATGCAAACATTGTTTCCTTAATATACTAAAGTAAGAAAAAAAAGAATTTGTAAACCGACTTTCAAAATTATTATATGAAATGCTGCCATTTCCGAAGACCTGAGAGCCTGTGGTCAGTAAGTATACAATCTTTATGATGACTTAACTGCTAATAAAAATACTATTAAAGTCAACATCAAACCAAACCTGCTATGTTGAAGTCTCATATGCTAAGTGAAATCTGTACTATACAACAGTCGACAGATGCCTCTGACTATCCCATTAGGAATTATAGTCGTGAACATTATTAATTTCCTTCATGAAAATCACATTTTAATAGTGACTAAAAAAGCCTTCCAAGTGAATCAACAACTTCACGTGGTAAAACACTCTTACTGGTAATGTCTACCGCCTAATGACATCGAAGGAGCAATTCGAAATCTCACTCGCTTCGAATCTTCTTCAGTCACAATCATTATTGAAAAAATTACTTGCATATTTTAAAAAGTCATCTATAACAATTTACAATTAATAAATTTAAGTATCTAATTATAAATAAACCATTTAAATAACTAGCAGTTTACGATTTTCTCATAGACAACATAACATTGATCTCCCATATGATTGTTCTTAAATTGGTTATCACTTCTTTTAACTGCTTATTTTTCAACACCACCTGCCAAAGAATAAATAAGCATAAAGTCAATATTATAACTTTTTTTTTTAATAAGAAACTGGAAAAGTTAACTGAACAAAGGAACGCCATTCCTTACAAGTATATAAATAGTACTCTATACATGGCGATTATTATTAGTTGGCATAAAACTATTATGTTACATTTTATATATTTAATAATTAACAGCCCGATTACGTACGGGTAGATTAAAAGGCAAGTTAGTATTGTACGAGTACATTAGTTTTAGTATGGAAATTTTTGATACCTTGAGTTACGTTAACGTAATTTTTCTAGGGACTTAAATTTTTTTCCAGAATAATATATAGATTATATTACTCATCCCTCAGTGGTACTCCGCCAACATATATAGTTAGCGCAAGTGCAGGTACTATTCCATTTATCATTTATTAAAAAAAAAACACCTTAGTCTTCAGAAATGACAATGTATAAGGGGAACTATGAGCGACACAGTTTATTCATTACGTCCAGAGTTCCATTCGTCTACTGGCAACAGTGACCACTGTTCCATTAGATGGGCCGTCAGTTTGTTTAAATCAAATGGGACGACAACTTGTTTACGAGTACCATTCCATGCTGCATAAAAAACTCAATCCATTAATTATCCTTCACGTCAGCTCGGACACTTTTTACGTGTGTTTTATCATACGTGTTTTTAATTTTTTATCGTACATCAATCAAAATTCAAAACTCTATTTTTTATCATACATCTATCAATATAAAATACTAATAATCTTGTAAATAACATTACCTGTTCAGTGAGCTCCCTATTTTCTTCCAAAGCAAGTCTATAGGACTCAGTGTTGCGCCTCTCATCCAATGTCTTGTTTTCCGCCTCGTCCTTTAATGGGATCAAACTTTCCATGTGTGTGTATTCCATGCCCTATAAATTAAACACATATATACTGATAACCAGTACGATCAAAACAGATCAAGTACGCCTAAAACAAAACCGGAATCCTTACTAATATCATAATATAAGTAATAGTAGATACTAAAGTACAGTATAGAGATTCCCTGCCGCCCGCTGCGATCTAATCTCACCCTAAAAGCACCCAAACTCTATTTTCCCGCACTAAATGTAACACACACGCACAAGGGAGAAAAGGGATTGTTAGTAATGGGGATTAGAAGCCCCATTGCTAGCTATATACTCTGACAGGTCGACCTCCTCACAGTTACCTCTGGAAACTATCGTGCCCAGTTCCAAGTTAATTAACTTGGAACATCAATTGATGAGCTAACTGACATGCCTTTTCATCCTCGCCTATCACTCCACTCCTCATTGGTGGTCCGCTAGCGTATACAGTCAGCGCAGTCGGAGTTGCCAATCAATTATCATCCATTTAAAAAAAACAGACACGCACACATTGTCACATGTACAGAATACAGAAATCACTTGTTTGTAACAAGTACGGATCATGGCATTTTTGTATGAAGTGTCCGGAGTGTGTGAATATTATGAATGCGAAAGTGAGTTTGTTTGTTACCTCTTAAACCCTTAATTTGGTATACTCATAGTATTGTATATGGAGAACATGGACTCCTTTTTGTTAGGGTCTGTAAACATATCCCGGTCACGTAGACAAAGTGGCGAAAGGAAGCTAGTATATTAAATAAACCCATAAGGACAAAAATTTCAAAGATATGGCAATAAAATTACAGAATATGAGGTATCTCTTAAGTCTTCAAGAATGGCAACGTACAAATGGTACGCATCAGTACTGAATTTAGTTTTTTTTTAATATATACGTTCTGTAACCCTGCTAGGAAGGGGAGACTCACTTGTCTGTTTACTTTACGTTTTGATGTTTTGACGTTTATGAAAATATAAATAAGTTAGGTAGATATCGAAAAATTATTGAATAAATTTAGAGAATAAGTGATAAAAGTATAAAATAAAAAACGAATTACAATTAGGTGATTTTACGTTAACAAAAATTGCCAGCCCTTGTATCTGCCGCCCATAAACTGCAGCCTATACGACCTATACTGAATGTCACTTTAAATTATGTAATGTCCTAGGATCTATTCATATCTAAAAGTGACGATTGCCATTATCCATTATTTATTTATTTTACACTTTATTGCACCAAGTAAAAAGAGAAATAACAAATATAGTAAATATTAATGAAAAGTGATACAAAAGGCGGCCTTATCGCTAAGCAATCTCTTCCAGACAACCTTTGGGTAGAGGTCATTGAGAAAAAGACAAAGGGTAGGTGGCGCACTATTATATAAATATTATCATATACAAACATATATACATACATACATATATAATATATAAACAATTAAATATATACATAACATACACATACTTAACAGCACACATACAACAGAAAAAAGAAAATGATGAAGATTATTATGTGGGTCGTTAACTTGTTTGATAGTTTGAGTTGCATATAAAAATTACCTGGCATGTTTCATTACACTTCTCATAGATTAATCTTAACCGTTTGAACAGAAGGCGTATTGTACGAAGCTGCTCTTGCATCTTGGCCTTCTTGTCGTTACTGGCATTTTCTCCGTGCTGCGTACCATTTGGTGGCTACAAACATAACAATAATCACATAATATTTCTATTCTACTAATATTATAAATTATCTATCTCTCATATATCTGTATCTCGCGGCATCACCCGTGTAAATGAGTACATAAAATATCCTATGTAATAAGTTAGGATATAAAGTACCCATGGACCAAATTTATTCATATTCATTTAGTTTCTGCACAAAAGCGTAACAAAGATGTATCATTACAAACTGTCCTATTTATTATATTAATAGGATGTTATAGTTTGTAAAAATATTTAGATATTTGTTACTCTAAATAGTTAAAATGCTAAAATGATTTCAATAAAATTTTATATACAGGTAGGTCATATCTTAACAAAACGAATAGGATTTTTTATACACCGATGAACGCAAGAAAAACCATGGTTAACAGGTAGTTACTAACAACCATAAAAAAGCAGCACCCTCTAGTATTATCTTTAAATATAAAAAACAACAACTTTAATTTTAACAAAATTCATTCTCCCTTTTTTATTTTAAAAAGCTTTAAAAAGTATTAGAGCATTTGGCTTTTGTAGTAAGGTGGATCTTTTTGTAAAAGATTATAAAAATAACTTTAAAGTCATTTTTTAATACTCACCTAAGTAATCTACATAATATAATTAAATTAAAATACTGCTTTTGCTCACCTGAATAGCTTTCAAAGTCTGGAAGACATCTTGAGTTCTGCTAACAATATCTTGTACTGTCTCCTGGCCAAATCTATAAAATAAAAACATACATTATTACATTTAAAATTCTTATACTCTACTAATATTATTCACTAATATTTTTAAAGAAGTTTGGGCATTTCTCATGCTTAACAACTGATTGGATTTGAACAATACAAATCATACTTGATGTAAAATACAAATGGAGTAATACATTGTTACTGATATTTTTTTATTCCTTACTTGCACAGTGAAGCAGTATTAAACTCCTTGTGCTGCGGTGGCGGTGCGGCGGCAGGGGGCGCTGGTGACGGGGCAGTTGCAGCCACTGCCCCACCGCCTTGCATACCCGCTGAAAATAACAACACGCGAATATTTCATCATCTACACAATCAATGTATACTTGTATTTTTATCTTAGAGACGAAAAAAGACTTTTTAAATGTGATTTGATTCAGAACTTAAGTCCCACTCACTAATCTTCTACTATGAAGTAACTATGTTTACACAGCTGTGTTTCGCTTTAAGGAGTTAGATACAGTAGTAAAATAACAGAGGAGGGAGACATAGTATTGTATTGTAAAATCTTTACTGTACATACTTTACATTGGACAGACAGACAGATAGACATGCAGACTTATTCTATAGAGAGATCTCTTTCAACCAACCTTTGAGAAGCTGAAAGAAAACTAGAATGTTCAATGATAAAAATTGTACAGTTAAACTTAACAATACCTAGTTCAAATTAAACATTATGTTCCATACCTATATTATAATAATAAATAGAATAGTAATACACCTACACATATATATATTTTTTTTACAACACAGGGTGCAAACGAGCATACGGCTCAAGTGATGGTAAGTGACTACCGCCGCCCATGGTCACCCACAACACCTACGGCATTGCAGGTGTGCTGCCGGCCTTTTAAAAAGGAATATGCTCTTTTCTTGAAGGTTATGTTGTCGTATCGGTTCGGAAATACTGCTGCTGGAAGTTGATTCCAAAGAGTGGTTGTGCGTGGGAGAAAGTGCCTTGAAAAACGCACGATGGAGGACCGCCACTCGTACAGATGGTTGGAATGAAATTTTAGTTTATGGCGGGTTGTACAATGGTGAAAATCAGCAGCAGGTATCAATCCAAACAATTCTTCAAAACACTCCCCATGATAAATTCGGTAGAAGATGCACAGAGATGCAACATCTCTATGCAGTTTCAATTTCAATCAAATATATATATATATATATATATTAGTAGTCATCAGGAATCACACCACACATTACATGATAATGGGCATCATCATGTATTCTAGATTTCCATGATGCTATTGTCTATTGGCAACTGTTACTTCCTGTCATGTGATCAATCTCACTATTTAGGTTTTTAAATGAGCTTTGAAACCAATATGCCACAAAAGAACACTATGTAGAAAACATGTACCTTGCTGCTGTACAGTTTGAGGGCCAAGTCCCCCACCTGGTGGGCCGCCCACGCCAACTCCCATACTCTAAAATATGTAAAAACACAGGTTACAATTATGCATAAAATTAAATACATTATTTATTACATTTCATAATAGACCAGCTTTATGTATGCTACTTCACACACATGGTTTTCAGCTGCAAAAAAAATAATTAAATAAACCACTTCTAGATCGCATACCAAGATTAAATATACAACAGTTTTTAAGTTAAACCTTCAGGACTACAACTGTGAAAACCTCATTCAATTTGATGCAACAGTTTTTGCCTGATGAGGGCACAATAACAAAATTTTAAAAATTAATGTTTTAACTTCTAGTATTACTTGTACTAAAACCTACAATCTCTCTTAAATATTCTCTGTAATAATTGGAATATAGTGTTTTATCCAGGCTTAAAAAATTAGACAAGAAAATATTCATACAGTAAACACAATGTGAAACAAAAAATATATCTAAAGTAAAAATTGAAATATCACTTTCATATAAAAAATTTATATGCAGGCAGCAGCAGAAAGGACTATGATAACTTCTATGAAAGAAATCATTTTTTATTAACCTGTGGTCCCATTCCCATATTGCCCATTTGGTTCTGCATGGCCGCTCCATATGGTGGTACCATTTGATTGCCCATACCAACCATTCCGCCAGGATTTGACATCGGCCCACCCATAACACCTGAAAATTGTTATATTATATTGTTATTTAAATTTTTATGAGAGACTAGTGATCCAGTCTGACTTTAGATGAATACAACATTTTCGAAAACAATATATAAAAAAAATTTTTATTCATTGTGTAGTTTTTCAATTTATTTATTACAAAAAAAAATCAAATCATTCCTCTTTATAATATTAATAAGTATACATATTATCACTAGAAATATTTGTCAAAAAGATACTTTCATTTTTAATATAAATTTTCAAAATAATTGTACTGTACTTGTAGTACAGTTACCTAATGAATTTGTATAAAAAACATTGACTTATAATAACTCCTTACTACTAGTGTTGCAGTATAGCATTATGGTATCAAGAATTCCTAGGACTCTTGCCTCTGATGTGACTTGTAGTAAATAGTTATAAGACAAGATATGATCTATCTATTTACCAAACTTAATTCAAAGTTGCTCAATTATTATCTAACAATTTAGAAAATGTTCATATTTATAATGTTACTTGCAAATAATGTAATATTCTATAGGTGAAAGAATTTTTAAAATCATTTATTGAGCATTTATTGAATTTATTCATTTCATGTAACAAAATCAAATATTTCCTGTTTATAATATTAGTTTACATAATAAAATTTCTACTATAAATTTTAACCTCTGCAAGTGACAAGAAATAACAATAAGTAGGTATATCTAGAATGGTAAACATAATGATAAATTCGTTAGCTAACCAATAAAGTACACATAGGCAGGCTTTCCAGAACTTGAATGTACTGGAAAGCTTGCTTATGTGCTACAAAGAAGACTTTAGTCTCTTTGACTAGTCACAAATCAGCTTGTCTCATTTTCACACAAAAGAATACTAATCTATTATCAAACACAGGCAAAAGAAGGAAGACGATAAATATAAAAACGGTATAAATAAATAAAAATTCTATATTACCTTTGACATATTTTCCCGCGGTTTCATAAGCATTTATTGTTTCGCATATTACACACATAAGTATAGGAATATACAATATAAATAATTTTACCTGCTAATTGGTTAGGCATTCCTTGCATCTGACCACCCATGGGTCCTCCACCAAACCCAGTTCTCATGCCACCGGCATTGCCTTGGAAATTACCCGGGAACTGGTGTCCCTGGCCAGCCATCCTTAATAATACTGAATTAGCTAACGATTTTAAATCAATTACAATTGAAATTGTATGAATCGTACAAAACAGATTAGAATAATTTATGCCACAAAGCTATTGGAAAATAATTATTATTTATACACAAAAACATAACCTCAATAATTGACTTGCTGACTAGGAACTTAGTATGACATATATGTCAATGTCAAAAATGACAATACAGTGTCAAACTGTCAGATACGATAACTAGATAGCGATGACAATACTGACAGATTTAATTATTAATCGAGTGTGCTACTAAATATGTAATCATTGCATTTCGTTAGTAAAGGAATGTTATATCAAAAACATTATATTCCATTCTGCGCATTATTGTCCCCATTTGTATACTTTTTTTCTACTGTCAGATTAACACTCATTATATCTTGATACAAAAAATTAATTAACAACTATTCATTGTATTATTGGAATTCTGAATCAATTTGGCTGGCTGGGAGAGTAGCTGATGGTGAAAAAATCGATTTAGCTTTAAATAATCATCATAGATCTTCAAGCAGGCTGGCAACACCGGGTTTTTCCGTCAGAAGCTGAACCCCGCCAGCGTATACCAATAATGTAGTCGGCATTACTATTCTATTTTCACTAGCGATGCACGAATCTAAATGATTTTCTTGTTTGAATGATAAGTAAATACTAATTTTATAATTCACTACTAAATTAGTAATATACGAATTTCCGTATTTGAATGATTTTGTATTAAAAACGTCGACGGAAAAAATAAGAAAACGCCACCGTGTACTGAAATATCAATTTTGTATTACGTGTTCATACTTTCGCAAATATAAAAACTGTACTTACTTTTATCGAAAATTGATAGGTAAAATAAGTTTATATATAAATATATAAACTTATTTTACCTACCGACCAACACATTGACTAATATTAATTTAGCTACATTTTGTTTTTTGTTTTCACCATAGTGCCATCGCGTCACTTTTTTAAATAAGTAAATAAATAACTGCCACGATAGGTAGACTTAGATTAGATAAACTTACAGACACTTTATATTATTATGATGTCATTTGGAAACATGCCAGATTCTTGACGACATCACTTTCGACCCAAATCTTTTTTAACTGAATATTTAAATATAGAATTAGACAGTAATGAACTTATTACATTGCACTCACCTAAATCATTTGGTGGGTAATATATCCAATGTTAATTTTTTTCTGTATATTAAAATGATTGTTCTACGTAAATATTATATTCAGTTTATTAATTAGATTAGCGTATAATCTACATAAAGTTCAGTTGGCGCATATAATTTATTAATACAATGTAAATTCATATAAAATGTGCCTATTTAATTTTTATTTATGTAGTTTTTTTATACTCTTTGTCTCTTTCTCATATGATGACATTTTAAAGATTAATTAAATAGATATTTAAATATAAGTTGGATATTAAAATGACGACAGCATTACGAATCTTAGCAAGTAGGACCTCTAAACTAAGATAAAATTAATGAATACAACAGTTTAACAAAAATAAGATTCCTTTGCACCATACTTTGATTTGATTCATAAATTGAACAATGAAATTACCATATTGGTTTTATTTTTCTAATACATAAAGAAATAATAGGTTTGCTACTGTTTAATCTAATGCCTTTCATAGCGCGCATTGTCTACTTCTTCTTATTATTATTTTTTTTTAATACAACTTAGAATGGCAAACAAGCTGACGGCCCACCTGATAGAAAGTGGTAACGGTCGCCTATAGACATGAGCAGTACCATGGACATAACAGAGTATACTGTTTCGCCCATGATACCCCCCCCATGCGTTGCCATTCCTGAGGACTCAGGTGTTATTCCTCTGTACCCTGTAAATTCACGCCATATCCCATCCTTCAAACCGAAACACAGCCATGCAAACACAACTGCTTCACGGTTAAAACACGAATGGGATAGAGGTGCCCAAGCAATCGACTTTTGTACAAAGTCTCCCTCTGGTAATGGTCTTATTAAGCGAGAAATTTTAGAAGCCCCTTAGTTTCGAACAAAAACGTTGAATTTGAAAACAAAAAAGAAAAAATAACTAAATAACTATTTATATTTAATTCAAGGTGTTTAAATAAAAAAAACTCCAACTAAGTACCTTAAAAATTTATTTTTCCATTTTAGAATATCCTAAATTAAGTACATAGTAGTATATTTTTAAATTAATTTTAACAATTATTAGGTATTTATTATGAATTTACATTCATTTAAGTATGTAAGTAATATAGATAGATATCTATTATAGATTGTGCTTAAAATTACTGTCAAATGAAATGCACTATAATATGGACTGATCAGAGAAGAACTACCCACTGTAGTCGTCACTCTGATGAATGTATATCTGTATTTGTGATGATATGTGTAATATAATGTCATATAAATTTATATAAACTATAAGTACATCAATATGCATTTTAAGGCAAGATGGCCGCATTTATGGCTAACATGATTCTATGTTCCATTTGGTATATGCATCTAATTTAATCTACTTATATTAATGTATATTTATTATCGTGTATAATTCAATACAATATATTAGACCGAATCGCGATTTCAACTCGAATAAACCGAGACGCAACAAGAGAGATTAGATTCGGCCCGTAAATATTTAACAATTTTTTATTACATACTCTTCCACATAATAAATAGTTATCAACATGTAGATTTACAAATATCAACAAAATAAATTACAAATAACAGCATATTTTTATAATTAAAATAAGACTTACGAACTAATTTTCAGTTATACTCTAAATGTCCCTAACTTGTACTAGGTAGGTTCCCGGCCAACCCTTTAGATATAATGTAGGTACCTAAGATAATTTTTGTGGATTATAATAAACTAAGTACTTATAATCCAATTGCAATTTATTATTCAGTACACAAAAGTTGTGTAGAATTTATATCTTTATTTGTTTTGAAATAGACAATATCAATATTTTTTTCAGTATTGTCCACAATTAAAATGTACCTACCTACTTTCCGAATCGTTCTCGTGTTATTTCTTGAGATTTCTATTAAAAAAATTAGGACGGCCGATGAACGCCTATAATCATTACATTAAAATTACATGGACTAGTAATTCAATTATTCTAACTAATAAGTACCCTATACCGCTTTGGAGAACAAAATAATATTAAAAGGGCCTAAACAAAACATGTTTTCGTAATACGGCGATTAAGATATCACTTATAATTATATTTTAATTAGTAGCCCTTTATTGATCTCCTTCAATCTTAAGCTAAACCAAGCCTTTAACAGGGCCTGTTGAGCAACATGGACATTTTATAGAACTAGAAATTCTAGAGTTACACAGCACTAGATGTTTCAACACAGAAGACAGTAAAATATTTCCTGCATACGTACATAGTTATGTGATCAATTACATTTATAGTGAAATACCCAGCTTCAAAACGAAGTCACAACACTTTAAAGTAACTTAACAATCACTGCGAATCTTCGGCGGGAGCTGCAAAATTTTAGACTTGAGAACTCGGCCGTGATTAAGATGATAGAACTATGCTACTAAGATAGAGGAAATGGTTCTATAATAGATATGGGATTGTTTAGATAAGTATATTTTATAGGTTTCAACTATTTTTATGGAATTATTAAATATAAATAATATGAAAATCTTTACCAGACTACAAGTAGGTATTTGATAGAAAAACTTATTTTCATTTTATAATGACGAGGTCGCCATGGTGTTATTACATAAACAAACTTCACCTCTGCTTTAGTCTATGGTGATGGATGGAAAATAAAATCTTAAAAAAATATTTTCCCGCCATTATGATTTTTGTGAATATTGTTAGTAGACCTTTCAGTAACGCCACAATACATTCGAAAGTTTTGTGTAAGATTCCCTATAAGAAAGAATGCATTTGTTTTATTTTTTACACAAAACTAATACTATGGCTATTACAACCTTTTCGAATACCTGCTTACTTAGATTTAACGGAAACATTTAATAATGAACTTATAGGAACTTCCATAAATTTCATTGACCCAAATATAGACGTAGTGATTACGATTGCGAACAAAATACACAAGTATATTAAAGCTATTATAAAATAATTTTATTAAGCAACATCTAATAAAAAAAATATTAACAACTGTAGACAAGAACCACGAAGATAACAGAATACACTGTAACATTTCTTTCTCTTTTGTCTGTGTCTTTATCCATTGCATATCTGAAGAATGAGGTTATATAATATTGGTATTGAATGGTTTACTTACATAATATAAAAAAAAAAATTAGTAGAGACAGCGTAATATGTTCTTTATATAATAATTCATAATCGTAATCCTATATCTTCTTCAATAGATACGTAGTCAGAAAAACGAAAAAAATTAGAACATAAATAAGTTTAGATAATAGTTTTTATTTTTTTAAATTGCATTTTTTTTAATCATTAGAAAAAAATATTAACATAGGTACCTATGTAATTATGCCATAAAATAAATAACAAGTTTACAGATTTCTCTTAACAATAAGAGGCGTAATGATGCTTCAAATGCTGTAAATTATCTTTCTTTATTGTCATTGAACAGCTATTTGCTTTAAGGTTTTATATTATACCGTTATAAAGTTTCAATATTCGAATATATTAAAAAGCAAAATTGCATCTACAATAAGAAGTACACCTAACTAACCTATTTAGTATAAAAAAGTAGGAAAATATGTGTGATGTTGGGAAGTCGGATGGATGAGGCAAGAACTTTGTAACACAGCTATATACTTAGTGCCTTTAATATACTTATTCCTAAACATTATACGGGATATTACAAGTAGATATTTCTTCAAAGTAAATTAAGTACCCAATGGCTCCTTAATTCTAACATAAAAGCTCATAGCTTTGGTCATTCATTAATATTTTTGGTTGTTAAAAATCAACTAGTTCTAGACATCATCTATGTTAGTCTAAATATTTGGCTTTCCTGAACGTCACTCTTCAGACGATAAGACTGGCTGTCTTTCACCTGCCTTCGCAAGTAAAATGTAACTATTTGTCACCGTCTCATAATATTTTTTCATCTAAACATATTTGTTTTACTAATCAAAGCTGCTTTAGCAAGAACCAGCACGATATTTATATGACATCCCAAGAAGGGCAAATTTTGTCAGAATTGAGATATTGCCGTATTTTGTTTTTAGGTGTAAGTACTGTATTGCTACAGCAGCATTGAGTACTCTTAAATTTCAAAATTTACTGCATCCGTGCCTCTTGGAGAGGCGGAGGATAAGGCAGTGGGGGAAGGAGTGGAGCTTGCACGCCACCGCCTGGCAGAGCGTAGTAAGGAGACATGTACCCAGCCCCACTGGCTGCTGCTGCCGCTGCTGCTGGAATCAAGGAAATTAAAATAGTTTAGTTGCTGACCTGCTAAATTGATACAACTAAGTGCAATTAATCAAAAAAGTACTAATAAATATTGATACAATGTTTCCATCGAGTTATGCTTGTAAGATTCAATTTCGATTTGAAAGGTGGATATACAAAGATTATTGGGTATGGAAAGTTTAGTCTTCAATGCAACACAAAAGTAACATCAAGAGTATCACAATGATGTCAGATGTTGTAATGTTTTAGTATAAAATCTTGTAGGTACTATTTTCTTTTTCTCTAATAGTCTAACTCAAAATTGTTTGAATGAGATTAGGAGCTTAGATATAAAATATGTGTATTGATTTATATATAACTAGCTGACCCGGCGAACTTCGTTCCGCCTAACAGTCGATTCTTTATTTTTTTAGTTGTTTTTCTTTTTTATGATACCCACTTAATTTTATTTTATTTTTACTTAATCCAAATTAAGTTATAAATTGTAAAAAAAATATTTTGGTGTATGTACCGTATATATATTCATATACATGTAGTAAGAAACGGTTATTTCAATATTACAAACAGACACTCCAATTTTATTTATATGTGTAGATAATATTTGTTATCGATTTATAAGGCTGCTTGGCCCAATATTAAAGTAAAAAGTTAATTTGGTTATCAATAGAAGAAAATACCTCCATATTAATTTACACTATTTTAATTACAAATAGCACCTCGTATCACTTCGCTCAAATTATTTACTATATCTTATAAATGGTGCCATAAAATACAAATATACAAACCTGCAGCAGTAGCATATGGATCAAATCCTGCCGCCGCGTACTGTTGCTGGTAGGCCGCTGCGCCTTGCGCGGCTGCCGCTTGATACTCATATAGGTGGTTCGCAGCAGCTACCGCCGCGGCGTGCTGCAGCTGTGGTAACTGCACTAGACCCCCCGCGCTTGTGCCCACACCTGCTCCCACCCCGCCAACAGCACCGACATATCCCGGCGCTCCATACACGTATCCAGGTGACAACCTGCCAATTCAATATCACCTTCATAACGAAGAACCGACAATAAGCAGACATCACGCATTAAAGAATAAACTTTAATGCCTGACGCCTCAACACCGATGATGGCCTTTCACCGGCATATGTACTCCACATTGAATATTGGCCAGACAATCAGTGAAAGGTCATCCGCATTATTAATCTTGAAAACTGTCACACTAAACTTAGCCCCATCTGCAGCTGACAGGCACGAGCAAGTCTAGTTTTGTTATGTTAGTAGACATCGATAAATTGTTATAAAATTGTAAGTATGCGAATGTATTGTCTGAAGATAACATAGTCGAGGAACCGCCGCCGTGCGTCATTCCCCGGGAAGTTAAAAAAGACAGTATTAAAAATATTTGGAGTGCGGCACTGTTCACTCTACCTCGACCGAAATATCCGGCATTCCGTATTTATCATTAGATCGTCGGGGAAACGTTAAAATTAAGATTTAGATACGCGTACATCTGTCAGTTACGAAATCCCGGTGACATTTGGGGCCCACAGGAAGAACGATATTGCAACAAAGTAGCTAAACGGACCGTGTGCCAATTAAGAAATATTCAACTGTAGACAGAGATACTATTACGTACCAGCGTAACCTGCTAGATAGTTGGAAATGTAATTTTATAATAAATATAATTGATTTTTATAGAAATGTTTTATTACAGGACAATACAAGTGACGCGACTATTCTTAATTTGCTGAACATACGAAGGCGGTCAAGTGTCATCAAGATCCCTTCGGCGGACATCGTGTCGCATCAGCAGTTTATGAGTACTCTCGATCAGCAACCACTTTGTTACCGACCGAACAATTTTTACTATGCAACCATCTTTCTCTGACTCTACAGGGATGATAGGGATGGTCGGATTGGTACTCGAGAGTGAAACGCGGTTGGGTATCATGGTACAGGATTTTGGGTGCTGAGCGCATGCGTAGAACACGCCCGCTACATTGCTCCGCCCGTTCATCACGCCTACCTGAAAATTTACTGTCCCTATTCGCAAATACCTACTTGTCCTATTTCTATTTATATTCACATCTATATTAAAACAATATTCCGACACGTTCTGTATTACAAAGAAATGGTCTATATCTTTCCCATATAGGTTTTCTATTTTAAAACATATATAAATAAATAAATTACGATATATATTATATATATATATATATATATATATATATATATATATATATATATATATATATACCTATAATTAAATACATAAACTAAGATAGATACAAACAGCATTATAAAACTGGCAAATCATCAATTCATCACACAAGCTGAGCTGTCACATCTACATAGTTATAAAACACGTTATTATTATTATTACTAAATAAGTATTTTATTACACCTAGCTAGTTCAGGTTTATGAAATATTAATTTATTAATATTATTATATAATATTATTGATTATATAATAATATTAGTTATTAAAACTAGGATTTTATTAGACATTTGATATTATAATGAGGCCAAGAAAATAACTACTCACTTACAATAAATAAATAATTAACACCACGATAAATATTAAAACAATAGGTAGCGAAAATATTAGGTATATGAGTCTAGAAAATTCCAACAAAGTATATAAGTACATACATTGCAAGTAAGTAGATTGATTCTAAAATACAACCCTGCTATTGTAGTTGGACTAATGACATTGTTGGTAAGTACCATGTGGTTTTATTTAATTGAAAAAAAAAACACATAGAGCGGATTAATCGAATGAGGCTTTCACTTGATTATTTTTTCATTTCGATCATGAGTTCCAATGAATTATATATGAATATGTGGTAGAACGGCCCTAGTGCGCATCGATCGGCCACCTCCGGCCACGGTGTAATTAATAGATACACGCAGGCTGCAGGTCGGGCGGCAGTCGAGAGCAATTACTATTACAGCATAGGTATAGTAATGACCGAATTGAGATGAGCGGTAGAACTAGCACGGCGGCGGTAGAAGCGATCGAGGTAGCGCGCACACCTACGCACACACAGCGCAACCTCGACCACACCGCCCAACCTACAAAGTCCACGTACATTGCAATACTCAGTAAGTGTATTATACGAAATCCACCACCAACAAAACTCAATTCAAATCAACAAAATCTTACACGAACACGGCATAAAACATAAAAGAAAACATTGAGTGTCGAGAACGATGCGTAGTGGTTGCGTTGGGCGGCGCCCGCGCCTACGTCGCCGGAGCCGCCCATGCTTTTGTAGCTTTATAAAACGTAAACATTAAAAAACCCAATCGACTAATTCACACCCAAAACGAAAAAAATCCACTCTCACGCTCACGCTTGCCATAGATACCTATGTGAAAATGTTTGATAATTTATTCTAGGTGTAGTCCGCAGGCCGCCGCGCCGCTAGCCACGCTAGCCGTCCGGAGACGCCGCTCCCATCATCTACCGAGACAAAAGTCAGCTCAGCATACTGGACGAACCATATTGCTGTACCTTATACCCTTATACCCTATGAACACCTAACAGCATAATGCATATTACCCAGAATGTCATAGGTTACTAACGATATTATCAATTGCAGTGTGTCCCTGGTTATTACTGTGATTTCCAAGTTACACAGGCAGCACAGTGATTAATTTAGCCATGTATTACAATTGAGATGCTACACATGACGCTCAACATGTTTGATAACACTGCTTAAGAGAATACGACATTGCCAAATTACGCAAAACATGTTGCACGACAAGTGTTTTCGTGAGCTAAGTGTGACGGGATTATTCCGATATCAGCAAAATAGAAAAAAATGTTAAATTTTGCCTATATCACCCAAAATAAGATAGATCAACACTACAGTGAATTATTACTACAAAATAACATTTATTTTTCTATACAATAATCGGACTATAAACTTAGTGTGAAATTTAAAGCTGACATTTTAAATAAAATAATATCTGATTTTTGTCTCGTGAGATGTATTCAGAACGACATGCGGCGCCGCTAGTGCTGGCAAATATCGGAGTGTTGAACCATTGAACATTGATACAAATGCGTTGTAGGCAGCAGAAACGGACTGTACTCACCCATAAGGCGATTGTAATACAGTCGGGTAGCCGGCACGGACTCCAGCCGCCGCCGCTGCCGCCAGACCAAACCCTGCAACAAAATCACCTATATATAAATTTAATGTACACAAAAATAAGGTGACAACACGACATGAACAACAATTCTGAGTAAAAAAAGTTCCTAACTACCTATTACTCTTTCGTTACTCCTATGTTCAAAGTCGTTATTTTTGTTCTCACTTAACGGAAGTGGCTGTGGAGGACTTGAAACTAAAATATATTTCGAAGAGATTGGACCACATCCAAATGACATACGAGTCAACTTAGAGCAGGCAACGTCAAAGTGTTAATTTCTTTTTATTGCATTGTTAAGTCGCGCGAGGCGGCATCTATTTCTGTAGCTCGGAGCGGACACCGCCCGGGCACCGGCATCCAGGGGCATACCTCTTGACAAGAAGACGACAAACATTCGCTATAAATGGGTTTCGGTTCAGTAGTTGGCAGCAGGACAAAACTAAAATGCTTCGAGTGATTACTTGATTGATATCGATAAACCATTGGGCACAATGACATTTCCTGTTTATTTTTTTTTCATGTAGTACTTGTTAAAATTTATATTTTGAATACTAAATAACATATCACATTTAGGAAGTGTGCAATCATAATAATAGAATAGGTATTATAAATCGCTGATTAACGGGTAACGGCCGCAAGAGCGTGACCTCTGCCGGACTATAACAACGTAGCTATTGTGCATGGTGAAATTTCACCGGTGATTACAGTGGATCACATCCGGAGAGCCCCGGATGATGTCGCGGTCCGACTGTTACGGTAATATCGTGTTGACCTTCCGATTGCCAATATCGCATCCATCGTATAATTACTGCCAAAATAATTGCGTACATTTGGCTCCTCTTGTGTTTTGACATTAAAATAGACACAAAGGCATTGAACGATACACTAGGTATTTTTTATGTGTAAATATTTATGCTAACTTCCTTAATGCACTTATTTTTTCAACGTTTGTTAATGTCCTAACGTTTATGTCTGATTGCATCACTTGTCAACATCGAATAGAAACTGGTCAGAAAGACACAATTTCACATGAAGGGGTTCATCGCGTGCTGCACGGGGGCGAGCGTGATGTGCCACCGCAGTTCGATCGATTGGATGCCATTTGACGGCCGAGGTCGAACCACTGTCCACCATAAAGCTTATCTTGATTCATTAAAAAAATTTCCTCTATCCTTCCATGTCCATTGTCGCACGGCCTGAATGCGATGTTCTTTTGTTAGTTGTATGTGACCCAGATAGATTTCAGTTGTAATCGATTGCTGGTTACTATACAATAGTTTCACGTTCGAATATTCAATAACTGAATAATGTGGAACAAACAGCTATGACGCATTATTTTTATATTTGACTCCTGAAAGGCGAATGACGCGGTCATGCAGAAATCATCTACATCCCTCCCTCGGAGAACAATTTGACTAAAGTAATGTGTAGGTGTAATTCGAATACAGCTTTGTTTTGAATACTTTTGCGGGTTGTTTTAGGACGACTTCTGGAATCCGGGTCGTCGAACTGCAAAGCCCGGTAAGTATACAGTAAGTGCTTAACGTCGCTTGTAAGGATTCTACGGAAATACGATTTTAGATGCAGGCGCGGACTGAGTTGGACCGAGTACTTATATTATGTGTAAGCCATCAATGTCTATTTATTCCAATGCCATTATTTCTAATACACATTAAAAAAAAATTATCGAAATATATGTGCACAAAACCATACAACTTTAAACAATCGACGCGTAACCTATTTACGCTACATTTATGAGTTCTGATTTTGTGCTAGTGCCAATGCCAAATGTTACAATAAAAGAAAACGATTCATTAATTGTTACTACAGTTTTTCATTGTAAATACATTGTAACTTTAATTTATCATGTAAGTTTGTTAGCCTAAGAATAGATTCAATTCAGTCATGGCCCAATTTCATATGGCCGAACTGAGCACTAGTCTCACGACCGTGACAGAGCTCGCTTTGCGTGTCCGGTGGCCTTCTCTTTGATCTGACCGGTGTCGCTCCGAGACTGGCACCCATCAATTCGACTCCAGCACAAATTATCGGCAACTAAGCTCCGTTTACGGCAGCGATTAATTACCCCTCCTCGCAGCGTTAGTTCCTGGGACACTTATTTTTGGAGAAAACACGCGTATGCTGCGACCGATCGATATTTAAAGATAAGGATTTTACAGATACGATTAGGTGTAAAACAAAATCTTACTCGATATACTTAGATATTCTATATGTTAGATCTGTTGAAAAATAAACCATTTACCCTAATTTAAGTCAAAATTTCGTAGGCTAACATAAGCTGGTGAAGAAAGATGAGTCTCTGGCCCGTTGCCAGAGCTGATGTCGCGGCAGAGGCGGCTGCGACGACGTTCCCAAAACTGCGTATATTTAGACAAAATAAAGAGCGCGCCGAAGACAAAACGAGACGCAACTCTGTTTTATAAATAACCACGTCGTTCGGCGGACGAACTCAGCCTCGCTCGCCCAACCTCTGCTCGCCAGCTGTTGTACATAAATAATAATTAAGACAAGAAGAAAGCTTACTGGACTGGCTTACGGATCCTTGTAAAAAATTAAAATTGTTAACTTCAAAGGTATGCTAGAATCTAAAGAATCGTATTCGTACCTAGGCCGGTAGGTATTTAAACATGAGTATATTCGGAACGTAATCTACGATGGTAGAGGATTATCGAAGGATCGCAGGGCTTCGTGCGGAAGTCGCGGCTAGAGATCGTGTTACAAATGGTACGACAAAGGGAGCGGAACTGCTACACTCGAGTGTTCCTGTGGCGACACCGGGTTGTTGACGTTATATAAAACATCTAGAATTAAAATCTGATGCTGATCTCACTGTATTAATATATTGAGATCGGTGTGATGATATGGTACTCAGTCACAGAACTCTTTTAGTTTTTTGGGACAGATGCCACATTATTATATCCGCACGATACGGAAGACACAATTATTTTCTTGGATCACGTTCAACAACGTTGACGTTAGTGTGCCATGGATATAAACTTATCTATTCAGATAATTTAATAATTATGTTTTTGAGATAGCGGGATAATTTAGAAATTTACCTATTTACCTAAAAAGCGAATTTTATTTCGCTACATTATGGTTTAAATAAAATTTCTGGAGTTGTTTTCCGTAAAATGACATTTAAATTTTTAAATGAGTTTCCGTTAAATTATTTAAAAAGAGACAATATAAAACATTCCACATAAAAACTTCATTTGTTTCAAAATCAGTCCAAAAGACTAACATGGAAATAAATTCCATTCAGAATTGGCGAAAATATGATATAACGTACATAAATAAATGCCGTCAGATTGAAAACCTCTTTCTTTTTGAAGTCGCTTAAATATAGAAAAGATGAAAATATCAATGTAAATTATACTTGTTTCGAATTTATCGCGAATATAATTCTCCATTGCGGTAGAAATTGGTCGCGCTACTCACTGGCGCACTGCAAACCTCCAGTATGGCTTCACTTCATACAATTATAAACAACGCGCAGTGGTATCGATCAACATACTTTTCATCGGCTGACCAAATGTCGGACGATGTGAATTGAAATCTCGAAATATCACTTATCTCTCTTTGATATTATACGTCTACTATTTTAGGTTGTAGAGTTTAGCTCAAATATTTTAATTCAAACTGAGGTAACTAAACATTGTACTATTCCTAAACCTATATATTAAAACGCTATTCAAATTTATTTAAATAAATTAAGTATTCTTTTGCCAAAGTCCATCTCACTCACTGTTGAATTTGTACTCATTACTTAGATTTCGTGCGTGACTGGCCCGACAAGTAAAGATTACGACCTTCCTTATTCCTAGTAATAATAGGTATTATCGGACAGTTTTTTTTTGATGGATGAAAATGGAATGGTAACCCCACCGCCTTCGCTAACGGGATACGCTGGCGGAGCACCACTGAAGGGTGATAGATGAGACTGAAAACAGGCCAGTTAGCCCATCATGATGAATTCATCAGGAATTAACCATGATAGTTTCCAGGGAGAACTGCGAGGAGGTCGACCTGGTTGGGTATATTGCTAGCAATGGGATTCTCAGTCTCCATTACTAACAATCCCTTTCCCCCCATTATCAGACAGTTAGTCGATCCAAATTCCAGGTCACATTAATCACTAATAAGAAGAATCAGAGCACTTGTAATCTCAACTAGTGTTGGTCAGTCTTAGTCCTCCACACCAAATGTTTGTACTAGACTAGTGATAACAATTTAAATAAAATGTATAACACTAGTAACCTACACCTGGTTTGGACGGTATTTTTTTTAATAAAATATAACCTATGTTATTTGCTGATTATGTAGCTTCAATAGATGAAATAATTTTAAATATCATTTAAGTATTTTTTGAGTTTATTCATTATAAACAAAAAATCTAATTTTTCTTCCTTATAATATTAATTTAATCGTAAACTAGTTTAAATTATAAAATGTGGGATGTGGGCACGTCGACGATAGCAATAATAATCGATAAATATGTCGGACTATCCCATGTCTATTTACTTTTCTCTAAGTAACACCTTTTAATTAAGGTTATTATTTTAATTAAGGTTATTATAAACCTTATATTGCTAATAAAAATATTACAATGCCATCAAAGGGTGAAATATTCTCCTCGTTTATTCAACTTCTAAACTAACCGCAACGCTCAATATTGGACGTTTGTTGTTAGCATCAAGCTTCGCTTAAATTTCATTCCTCTCCCCGTTACCCGTGGAATTAAATATAGTATAGTTTTACTATCGATCAGGCACGTGCGCCGTCATCAGTGCATTCAAAGCCTAAATCCCATAGCCGAAATAAAAACCATCGGGGTTGCTGAGCATTAGGGGGTGAAGTGGCGTAAGGGGGACATGCATAAGTAATGCATCGGCGAAGGGCGCTAAACAGCGCACGCGATCCCGCCAACTGCAATGCCAAACATTGAGGTACTTGCCCTTTCATTATCTTCCAGCCCCAAAAATGTACCTTATT